CAGCACTACCTTGGCTTCCGTCGTGGAACCCTCGAGCCTGGTAACCTTCTCCTGGATGGACGTGAGGACATCTTTCGAGGGTGCTCTCTTCTTTCCAGCATTGCGGGTTTCATTCCCATCAGAACCCGTCGCTTCACCATGTTGTGGTGCCATCTCGAACCAACGAAAATAAAAAAGAAATAGGCTCTGATATCACTTGTCACGGGGCTAGACTGCTGCTAGCAAGCTCGTGCGGCCTTAGTCGTTTTCGAGGTTGAAACTCGGCTAAGTAACCCAAACCTTCACTAAGCGAGAATGCTTAGAACGTTGCAAAAATAAAGGAAATGGGAAAAATAGAGAGATGGGCGCTCAAATGGAGAAGAGAGAGTTTAGAGTGAATGCTAACTTGTATTCCTCAATCTGAAGTGAGTAAATGAGGTGGGGGTGAGCCTCCTTTTATAGTTGGAGCCCCCTACAATCAACGGTTAAGATTAAATTACATCAACGGTCAGAAAAGAGCCCTACTCTATCTATAACTCTAAATTAAATAATAATTAGTGAGAATTATCTCTAAGATAATTTCAAATAATTATCATGCCTCTTCTCCCTCCAAGGTGGATGGGCCAGCTCTGCTGGGTCTTCTAGAAGGCCCAAAACGTGGCAAAGATAGTCTCTGGCAGCCTTGAACGAACTGGGCTCGGTCTTGGGCTGGCAGTCTGTGACACCTCCACTGAACCTCTACGCTTCAACACGAAAAGAGTTCAGATTATCTAATTTACCAATAACCATATCATCTTGGGAACCACTAATGCGAGGTTTCAGCAAAGAAACTATTGGAGGACGATGAACCACCACAAACCGCTTGAAATGACGATGAAACTGACTCGTCGCACCTTGACAATTCCATGGCATGCAACTAAACATAAGAAAATACTAAGAGGAGTTATGCCCAGTTACGCTCTACCCATCACCTTCATGAATCACCAATGAGTGTCTTTTTTGGACAATAACATTCACTAAGTTTGAAGCCGATTGAACCCAATCAGACAGTAAAGGCCTCTTCGGAGCTTTATACATCAACTTCTTTTTAATTTTTAACCCCTTGTAGCCTTGTTCATGTTGCCCTTTGTTCTGAGAAGTTTTGAGATGGTGACTCTGTTTCCTAATTGTTGAGTTCGTATCCCATTCATCAATGGTCACGACCACATGATCCCCATTTCTAATGTTCGGTACTTTAAGCGATACAAGAGGCTCCCGAACCTTGACTGAAAGATCAACCTGGAATTTTTCCCTCTTGTGCCACCGATTCCTTGCCTGGACTGATTCGGTTGAGTGCTCTTCAAAGTTGTAGAAGGCAATGCGGCGTTGGAGCTCCACTCAACAAAAGAAATCTTATCCTTAATAACCTTAGCAGATGTTCCAATCGGATCCTTCCTTTTGTCTTTCCTTCACCGTCCCCCAAATTACGGGTCATTCCCTCAACCATTGAACATTCGGATAAGCATTTTTGGTGTCAGGCACCTCCTCAGGTTCAACAAGAGCTTCAAATCGAGTACTGTTCTCTTCTTGTGGTTTTCGAGGCCTCTTTTTCCGTCCAAGAGTAATCACCAGGGCCCATACATGTCATCTACCAGGGCAGCAGGAACATCAGTCTCAGTAACCCCTCGAAGAAATGCATCATCATCGATCGTCAAACTCTCCACTTGGATTCTGCATTGATCTTAAGAATTCCCATAAATCACGTATCTAAAGCAGATATGAGGGAGCCCTTCATAGTCAAGCTTTTGTATAAAGCCATCAATACCAATGCACGGAAGTAGTGGCTTGGTCAGGTCGACCGCCTCTGCCAATCTTGCAAATTTCTCTCGCTCTTCAGCATTAGTATTATAGTCAATCTTAATAACTATGCCAATTTCAGAAGTCAACATACGAAATAGAATTTCTCAGAGGTTTTTGAATTCCAGCTCCATGGTTGTACAATTAGATAACTTCCAAAAATCACCCAAGGGTCTTCCGTAAGAATTTCTGTGTAATCACCATCATGTTCTAGTCTAACCAGAAAATAGTCATTATCCAAGTCAATTAGATGGAATTGTCCATGTGGTTTCCTTAGCAGTTTGATTTTATTCAACAACACTCGGTATCCGATTGTTTTGCCCAAGAGTCGCACAATGATTGTCTTACTCAAGTTCTGGTCAATAGAGTGATGAACACTCTCAGAGAAATGGATGATCGGATAGGAGTCATTCCTATCCATCGTCACATCCCTCTCATGCAATTTTACGTCCTCCATACCAAGAAAGTTAAGCATGACTATCCCCTGCACTACTCAAAGTAGTTGCATAGGATTTCGCTGGGATTGTGGTCGTCGTAGCTGAAGCTCCCTGTCGTTGTTGGGTTTCAATGGAATTTTCACGATTCCGTTCAGTCATTAAGTCATCTCCACCTGTTGATAAAGCAGCAATAGCTTCCATCCCAACGATATTTATTAGATGTCAATCCAATATCACACTCCATCTGAGAGTTTCTACTTTTCTTGGCCGTTTGTTGATTTTCCATCGACATCGGAGACCCCCGATCATTCTAGTAGTACTGTCGAAGAGATAGAGACCGCCACCAGGGACCGAGACAGAGGGTCTTTGATAACAAATATCACTATTAAGTTATTAATTTGTGAATTCTAATTAATTATTATTATAATTTGTATATTTTATAATTGTAGTGGCGAGAAGATGAATGGTGATAAATTAACCCTCCACGAAAGAAGAATGAAACTTTAAACTGGTTTGTTCAAAAGTCTAAAAAGAATGATACAAGTTCTTCCTAAGTTCCAACTTGTGTCTCATCGCCAACTCAACCTTTAACAACTCAATTCAAGCAAGAATTTTCTTTCCCTTCGCGTAATATGCCACAAACTCAAGAAATTGGAATGAGTTCAACATGTATTACACATAACGATAATACAATATTTTCATCAAGGGAGATGGAGAACCAAGTTGATGCTAATTCTATTCCACACGATCTAGCTAAAAGGAAAAAAATGTTGACTATCATCCAATATATAGAGAAGCGATAAGGAAAGAATACATACAAAGACGTGTTTTCCTACCAAAGAAGCACACATTTTCTCAAATGGACTTCGGCAGGTATATCATGTTGCTTTAATAAATCTGGATTTAAGAAGTATTATTTGGGATTATGAATGAATTAAATAAAGTTTTATAGAAAAAAGATCAAGATGTTGTGTCTTGTAACTTTGACTAAAGAAAGATTGTAAGATGTGAGAAAAAATGAGTGAGAATCTTTTTTTTTTTGCTACAGTCACTTCGTTTTGTAACAATAATGACATTAATATTTTTTATACGAATGTTGTGTATGCTCCTCTAGGAAGAAAGAAACATTGTCGTTTGGATATTATCAATATTCATCATTTTCGATTTGAAATGTTTTTAAGAGTTATTAATTTTTAACTTCAAGAGTTAAACAATAGCTTTGATGATGTTAGTATAGAGTTATTGACTTGTATGATTTTTATGAGTCCACTTAATAAGTTTTCTTCTTTTGACAAACAAAAGATATCTAGACTTGCCGAATTGTATCTCAATGAATTTACAAGTGTTGATAGATTAGGCCTTGATGATCAACTTGATAATTATATTGTTGATATGCGGAGGGATGATAGGTTTTGGGTATTGAAGGATATGAGTGAATTTTCCATGAAGCTAGTCGAGACAAAGAAGCATCAAGTGTATCAACAAGTCTATTTGTTCATAAAGTTGGTGCTGATTCTCCGATAGCAACTGCAAGTGTGGAAAGAGCATTTACTAAAATGAACATTGTGAAAAATAGGTTGCAAAATAGTATAGGTGACTGATTTTTAAATGGTCGCTTACATAGAAAGATATGTTTTTCTCCAAATTGATGATGAAGAAATCATGAACCGATTTCAAGGAATGAAAAGTAGTCGATAACAATTGCAATTATGTTTACTACTAGTATTTTTTTGAATAGATTGTTATTTTGGATCATGCAACTTTTTTTAGTGAATATTATATTATTTATTTAGGTCCCCCATTTTTTTAGTTTTTAGATCCGTCACTGACCTCTGCAATATTCGAATTAGTCAATTAATAAATCGAATAATGGTGACTATACTAAAAACTATATTTGAAAGTTTATAAATCAATTAAAAAAATTATAGATTGAAAATGTGATATGATGCGGGGCTCTTAAATAATAAAATACTCAATACTCAATATATTTGATTAGTTTTTAATTTATGGATTTCTTAAATCTTTAATAATAAATCGAAACGTAGATGTTTTTGGATATTTCAAAAAATATTCAATTATATATTGAAAAAAATATATTCTTAACAGTAACCTAATAAATGAGATGTAATTCCAACTTACATGATCAAAGGAATCGTTGTGGTTCTTAAATATCATGGATTCGAGCACCAGCGACTGCGATAGGGTGATTGAACTTTTATTATTAAATGATTGAGAGTATATTTATCACGTATATTATTTTGTAATCACCCGAAAATCTGAAATTGGAATTGGAATTGAAGTAACAAGTTTTATCCCATGCAGAGTACAAAATAGGTTTTATCATATGCATGTACTCTGGCGCCAAATAGTCGTTAAAAATTTGAAAAACTGTTTTTTTTCAACTGTTAAAACCATAAGTAAGCAAATTTTGTAATCACACATCCATTCTCTACCTCTGTTTTTTCAGTCCACAAATAACGGGAATTGAGTGACTACCCTATTCTTCCTCCGCCGCCATCCTCCGTGTATGGCAGCCACCTTTCCTCTCTCCACTTCTCTCGCTTTCATTTTAAATTGGCAAACCGAGAAAACACCATTCAAGTTTTAGAAACCAAAACACAGGTTAAGGCCGAGACGGAGGGAAATAGCGTTAAAGATCGATGCGTTTTTCATTTCGATTTTCGAAACAAATACATTTCTGATGAAACAAAAAGAAAATTACACATAGGGTTTTAATAAATCTTGAGGCAAAGCAATGGAACAAAAGAGTTTACTGTTGTCTGCTTTGGGCGTTGGGGTTGGGTTAGGGATGGGGCTCGGATTGGCTTCGGGTCAGAGCAATTGGACAGGAGGCGGTTCGGCTGCATCGATCGGTCCCAATTTGGAGGATATGGAGAAAGAATTGATCCGCCAGATCGTTGATGGCCGAGAAAGTCATGTCAGATTCGATGAGTTTCCCTATTATCTAAGGTACATCCGTATCCGAATATACGTCGGAGTCGAACATGGCTGTCGGAAAATCTAGCCCTGCGTTTGTTCTAACAATATCTTCATCCTTGTTGGTTATGTTTGGCAGTGAGCAGACTCGTGCATTGTTAACCAGTGCTGCCTATGTTCACTTGAGACATGCTGATGTCTCCAAGTACACAAGGAACCTTGCCCCTGCTAGTAAAGCCATCTTGCTCTCGGGACCTTCGGGTTTGTTATCAGAATCTTTTCTTCTATTCTCCGACTACATACATCGTATTTTTTTCCATATCACATGCCGGTTTCTGGAAATGTTCTAACTATTTTGTTTTCCATTGTAATCTTGAAGAGCTTTACCAACAAATGCTTGCCAGAGCTTTAGCTCATTACTTTGAATCGAAGTTGCTGCTGTTGGATGTAACTGACTTTGCTTTAAAAGTGAGTATTTGCACATTTCTTATACCATTCTTGTGACCATGTTACTCGAACCCTTCACATTCATGTCGAATACATACTCGTATCTAACATTCGTACCTGAGTATTTGGTTACCTATGTGCAGATTCAAAATAAATATGGAACTTCCAAGGAATCTGTAAGTGTTTTTTTCTCCAGTGGAACATAGGATTGGATTAATACTGCTTTTGATTTCTCTAATCTTCGATTCTTTCGTGCAGTGTTTCAAAAGATCTCCTTCGGAATCAACACTAGAGAGATTGTCCGGCCTGTTCAGTTCTTTTTCACTCCTTCCACAAGAGCAACCTACAGGTACACCGAAAAATTCATATGTTGCTTCGATTCTTCATTTTTCTTGAAGTATCTGAGTCTGACATTCATATATGTTCGTATTTGAAATTTATATCCGATTCCGAGTAACATAGAATATCTACTATAACTTGTCTTGCAGGTACATTGAAGCGGCAAAGCAGTGGTGCGGATCTCGTAACAAGGAGAAACGAAAGCCTTCCAAAGCTGCGTAGGAATGCCTCAGCATCAGACAATATAAATGCCCTTGCCTCTCACTCTTCTCCTGCAAATCCAGGTATGTTCTCGAGTTTTTTCTATCAGCATATCGACGTCCGACTCAGATCCATACCCGAAACTTATATTATAGTCCAAGTAACATACGATTCATACTGGAACTTCATGGTTGCTTTGATCTTTTTCTCCCTTCTTTTTAGCTCCTACTTCACGAACAAGCGGTTTGTTTTTCGATGAGAAGCTGCTTATACAGGCTCTTTACAAGGTAGTAATATTGATATGTGTGTGTGTGTAAATATACACATGAAGTTAACTTTTGTTTTGAAACAAATGATGAATCAACAGAAATTCTGGGATGACTGCAGGTGTTGGTTTATGTGTCGAAAGCCGCTCCCATTGTGCTGTACCTTAGGGATGTTGACAAGCTCTTGTTTAGATCACAAAGGTTTTACAATTTCTTTCAACAAATGTTAAAGAAACTGTCTGGAAATGTGTTGATCCTCGGATCCCGAGTCGTCAATCTCGGTAACGAAAACCAAGAGTTGGACGAGAGGCTTCACATCCTTTTCCCTTACAACATTGAGATCAGGCCACCGGACGACGCTCGCCATTTTGTCAACTGGAAATATCTACTGGAAAAGGACATGAGCATGATCCAAACTCAGGATAATAAAAATCACATCATGGAGGTGCTATGGGCTAACGATCTCGATTGCGATGATCTCAATTCGATCTGTGTTGCTGACACGATGGAACTCAGCAGATACATAGAGGAAGTCGTGGTCTCGGCGATTTCTTATCATTTGATGAACAACAAGGATCCCGAATATCGAAATGGAAAACTTGTTATATCGTCGAAAAGGTCGGATTCGTTTCTCTTGCATGGTTTATGTTACCATTGACTATACGATTTCTGATTCGGTTCACATTGATGCAGCTTGTCTTATGGATTGAATTTATTCCAGGGGAAGTTTGGTGGTGATAAGTTAAAACTGGAACCACAAACTGAAAGATCAAAGGTCTTATAATCTAGCTAGTTGTTTTCTAACAGCAAACAAAAGGAATTACATGGTAGATTACAAAGCTCACCTCCCTATCATGTTTACATTGAATAGGAAGCTGCAAAATTTTCTGCAGTTATGAAGCCGGAATCAAAATCCAGAACCGGGACTGGGACCACCACTACAACTACGACCACGACCACAATCACAAATCCAGAAAAGATTGACTTTGAAATTTCTGCTCCAGCCGTGAAAATTCCTGTGAGTTTGTCTTTACTTTCGTAGTAATGAATTCCTTTGGTGTACGGTTTTGTCAGCCTTCATATCGATCCGTAGGAAGTTGTTCCAGACAACGAATTCGAAAAGCGAATAAGACCCGAGGTCATAGCACCAAACGAGATCAATGTGACATTTGCCGATATCGGTGCCATGGATGACACGAAAGAATCTCTGCAAGAGCTAGTGATGCTACCTCTACGACGGCCAGACCTTTTCAAAGGTGGCCTTCTGAAGCCTTGCAGGGGAATACTGTTATTCGGTCCTCCCGGAACCGGGAAAACAATGCTAGCGAAAGCCATTGCTAGAGAAGCTGGTGCGAGCTTCATTAATGTATCGATGTCGACCATTGCTTCTAAATGGTTTGGAGAAGACGAGAAAAACGTCCGAGCGTTGTTCACATTGGCAGCCAAGGTCTCTCCTACGATCATATTTGTAGATGAGGTAGACAGCATGCTCGGCCAGAGGACTCGAGTCGGAGAGCACGAAGCTATGCGAAAGATCAAAAACGAGTTCATGGCTCATTGGGACGGGCTCTTGACAAAGCCGGGTGAACGCATCCTCGTCCTCGCTGCAACCAACAGGCCGTTCGACCTCGATGAAGCGATCATTAGGCGATTCGAGCGAAGGTACTTATACTCACTGATTTCGGCAAATTATGTGTTTTCATATTAATGCTTGTTCGTTTAAGCAGAATCATGGTGGGGCTTCCAAGCATAAAAAACCGGGAAAAGATTTTTAGAACTCTTCTGGCGAAGGAAAAAGTAGACCAGAATGTTGATTTCGCAGAGCTTGCTGCCATGACTGAAGGATATACTGGAAGTGACCTCAAGGTACGTATTTTCATTAGATTTTGCTACTTTACAGATCATACTATTAAATGCAGCCGCAATGCAGTGTAAAGATTGCATCGTAACGTTTTCTAAGGTTACTCAACACCACAAATCTCACCAGCACCATAAAATCATAATTATTTTTAAAAAATAAATTACGCGGTAACGATCTCAACATTACGACACTGCAACCATAACTGCGACAGCGACCTCAATATAGTACTATGTTACAAATAGTAGAAATATAATCACTCTCCCTTACTGTTTTAAACCAGAACTTGTGCACAACGGCTGCTTATCGTCCGGTCCGGGAGTTAATAAAGCAAGAGAGATTGAAAGATCAGGTAAGTTATTCACAAGTGAATATCAAATACAGATTGATTCTAATTTATATTCAAAAGAACAATTTGCAGAAGAGAAAGAAGAAAGAAGCAGAAGGTAAGAACTCGGAAGGGCCGTCTACTAAAAACGAGGTAGGGGAAAGAGTTATTACCTTGAGGCCATTAAACATGGAAGATTTAAGGGAAGCAATGAATCAGGTAAACCTCACATAATTTCATAATGATGTTACAATTAGGGCCATAAACGAGACAAGACGGATCGCGAGTTACTTGAGTTCGAGTTGAGTTCCATTATTTTTACCTCATAAGCTTACAAGTTGAGTTGAGCTTCAATTTCTGATTTTGAATTCGAGTCAAATTTGATAGTTTTAAGCTCGTGAACTCAACAATACTCAAGATCGAGTCGACCTAATTACATCTGCCAAAAGTGTAGGGAAATACTGACCTTGAGTTTTCCATTTTCATACGGAGCAGGTGGCAGCTAGCTTTTCTTCGGAGGGAGCTGGAATGAATGAGTTAAAGCAATGGAATAATTTATACGGGGAAGGGGGTTCCAGAAAGGAGCAGCAGATATCCTACTTCCTATAAGATGCTTTTTTTTACATTTAAAACAATTAATTAGTGTAAACATGTATCATCCTCAAGATTGAGCTTGTTTTACTCTATTTTTGGGATGCTCAACACCTATGCATGGTGCTGTTTTAGCTTTACAAGTCATACAATTACCTCACTGGGAGAACTGTACCTACCAATAACTGATGATTTAATACCTTACTGTTTTAACACAGATGATATAAAATACTACAAAAGATGTTTAAAGGATCATGGGATCAATCAATCTTAAATGATAAATTTGATAACTAAATTTTACTTTCTCTTATATTTTAAATCTTTTTAATTTTTTCACCGAACTTAATGTATTGATTTTTTTTGTCAATCATTCTCTCACTAATAGCGTTATAAATGAACTTTTATATAGACGCAAAACAATGTCGTTTTGGTAAAAAAATTATTTTTTAAAACAATTTCGTTTTAACGTTGTTAACTATTTAACAACACATTGACAAAACTCAATATATTAAATTGAGGAAATTGAAAATTTTAAAGTTCAGTGAGCAAAATAAGACAGAGAGTAAAGTTTAGTGATAATTTACCAAATTTTAAAATAAAACTTATTAATAAAGGTTAAAAAATTGTAAAAATTAGGTACTACAAAAGAAGTTAAGAAATGGTAAAAGTTGTGTACTAAAATAATGTTATTAGAAATTGTTATAAAAACATAATATTTTAATCAACGGGTTGATTCAAGTGGTAAGTAGTTTGATATTGTTTAAGTAAGGTCAAGGATTTGAGTCGTTGTCTATGCAAAAAATCCCCGCTGAGAGATTCACTCTCCATAATCAAATGCTCGATGTGAGTCGGTCCAGATTAGTCAGGGTGAAACTTTAAAACCAGGAGGGCAACAAAAAAAACATAATATTTTATTTTGAACGTAATTTAAAATATTATCTTTTATTCATAATATTTTTTATTACAACCTAACATGTTACCTTCTTGATAATATTTTTAGTTGTAAGCAATTTTTCAACTGCAACCGAAAAAATTATAAATTTGTTTTTTTAAGTTGAACGTGATAACATTTTAGATTGAAAACCGTCTTAAATTAAACATTTAAAATATACGGTAGAACTACTAAAAACGTAGTGAATCATTAAGAAAGATGTTCAGAATAATTTGGGAGAACTTTGAATTCATTGTATAATACATAGCAAATATGTTTCGTTCCTAAGATTTTATATTCTTGAAATTTTATAATATTACACCTCAATATATTATATAGTTTCTTAAATTCACATCGTTTATATAAAATTATAGTCCTAACATTATTGGTCCGTTCGATTTTAGTTCATAATGTTATCATTTCGTTCGATTTTAGTCTCTCATCAATTAACTCTCATTAACCCTTTAATGAAAGTATTACGTGGAAAATAAAAAAATAAATATAACCACATAAATCACCAACTGACGTGGAATAAAATTTTATTAAAAAATTCAAAAACTGATTTCTTCTTCTTCTGATCGACCAGTAACACTTACTGGTGAATATGATGATAAAATGAAAGATTGGCAAATGAAGATGGAGTTACAGAGGCCGTTACTGGTCAATCAATTGAATTTTGTTTCTAGAATTCACGAAATGATTTATTATGTCATTAAGATTGTTGATGTTGATAATATGGATCGATCAGATGTATCAAATGTTGGATTAAAATCCATAATTATGAGCATATATTTATAATGTAAGTTGTTATCATGAAATATGACATAAATTAAGTGACCAATTAAGTTATAAATTCATAAGGTATTATAAGTGTCATGAAAATGAAAGTGTAGATACTATTAAAGTTGTATTTATAATTTGATTAGGGATAGAATTATAAGTGCAGACAATAATTGATTCTTAAATCAGTTATATAAAGGGGTTGTGGTCCCCAAGAAATAGACAATCTCGTATTTATTCTTATCCCCATCAAAGAGTTTAAACTTAAGGTGTTGCAACCGGCCCTTCAGGGAAAAGTCGACTAGTTGCAGCAATGGAGTTTTTTTGAAATGATTTTAATGAAATGTTGGGAGTCGCCACCAATCATTTTTTAAGGTGCGATTGGAATATCATAAAAACTGGGTGATTCAATAAAACATTTCATTTTTATCAAAAAAAACCAAGTTTGGGGATTGGGAAAATCAAAAAATAGGTTCGGGAGTCAATTACGCGTGGGGAAGGATTAACATCCCATAACACCCAGAAATTGGTACCTAGTTGATTACCCTATATTTAAGAATTTATAAAATTTGAGTTCAAGACTTTGTTTAATTTAGAAATCACTATGGATGCAAAGTTGAAAGAGGATATTTGTTTATTAAGGCCAATAATATTCACCCCTAGCATGAATGCGGAAGATCAATTATTGTCCCATGAACGAACATTGCCTCAAGAATTGAGAAATTATGATGCACTTTTGAGAAATATATTGACCTATTTCGGGAATCACCAATAGTCACCACTGAGCATGATTGTGGGAGATATACTATTGACTCCATAATAAGTGAACATTGCCTTGTATTTAAAAACGGATGCAATCAATTAATCAGTTAAAACCTAATTATACTATGTGAGTTTATTAAAGGTTTTTCCTAACTTGAAGTGTCAAATTATGTAAATTAAAGAAACTAGAGGACTAAACCTGAAAATAAAATATGTAATATTAATCCTAAATTTTTTTAACCTATTATTGAATCGAATAATTGATTTGAGCAATCGGGAATCTTAATGCAAAAATCAAATCAAAGTATTCCCTAATGTTTAAGGATTAAGGTGAAAATAAACCTTAAAGTGAAGGCTCTAGTTAATAACTTAATCAATTATGTCAATTGGATAATCTAATTAAAATCTTGGGACTAGAAGTGTGAAGTCTAAAGTTAAGGGACTAGATCTAAAGTTTAAGGCTCTAGTTATTAACATGATTAGTATAAACTGATTATTGAATCGGATATTGATTTGAGCAATCGGGCATCTAATGTGAAAGCCCAAATCGAACCATCTCTATCTTCAAAGCACTAAGGAGAAAATAACTAAAATGAAGGTTCTGATTAACCTAAGTCATTTATTTCAAATAGCTATTTAATTAAAAGTTGAAGGGCTAGATGTAAAAATTAAAGTTAAGTAAACCTACCTATTTACCCTAATTATCTAAACTATAGTAAGTTCAATTCAAAAGTTAATTAACTAACTAAAGTTTAAGCCCTAATTACTAACCTAATTAAAACTAAGCAATTATTGGATCGAATAATCGATTTGAGCAATCGGACATTTTATGCGAAAGTCCATATTGAACTATCCCTTAATTAAAGACTAGATGATAAGAACCTAAATCTAAAGCTCTCATTATATACAAACTAAGATATTAATCTAATTAATTAAAAAAGAAAGAACTAAGAGAATGAACTTAAGGCATTAAGATAAAATATAAGTAAAATTAACATACAGCAAATTTATTCATAAAAAAATTAAAATAAAAAATAGAAAACAATTAAGGAATTAAATTACCCCTAAGTTAAAATTAATGTTAATTAACAAAATAAATATTACAAGGACTAAATCGAATTAATCATAAAAAATTAAGGACCTAAATTAATAATTACAGGTTTCAAATTAGGGACTAAATTAAGACCAAGTAAAAAATTAAACATGAAATTCGCAATTCGGACAGTGATCTAAATGTAGAAAAATTAAAGTGAATTTTCCAAGTTTATTAACCCTAAAAATATACTAGCAATTATAAAATGCAAAATTCTAAAATTAGGACAACATGATAAATCAAATGCAAAACGAACACTATAGGTGACTAAAACGTAAATATATGGCAAATGTGCAGGGATATGAATGAGAACAAATCCAAAAAATAATACTAAACATAAAACAGAAAAATGACGCGATCAGGACAAACATGGACCAACTTGTAAAAAGGTGTGTAATGTATAGGGAGTAAAAGTAAAATAACCCTAAAAGCTTTATATAAAAGAGTAATTATATGTTAAACTAACCCTAATCCTAAACTAAATTAAAACCAGTCGCCTCTCAACTCATCTTTTTCCTATCTCTCATTTACTCGTTCGACCGAGAACACCAAGCATCTCACATAGTTCCATATGGTCTGCTCCAACATGAAACCACAGGGAGTTTTCGAAGACCAAATTAAACTGAGAGATTTTCCTTTTCTTTATCTGGTTTAACAAAAGAGTGGTTATTTTACTTACCTCTAAATTCAATTAATATGTGGGTTGATTTAAATCAAATCTTTCTTAATATTTTTTTTCCAGTAACAAAGGCAAGCGGATTGAGAAGAAACATCCTAGGAAATAAACAAAAAAGATGGAGAATCGCTTTATGACTGTTAGGAGTGATTCAAGAATCTCTGTGCAAGTTTTTCGCAGCATGGATTAACTGAGCAAATGCTTCTCCAGTGCTTCTACGAAAGTTTTCTTCCCTTAGAGATTAAGATAGCCGATGCTGCTAGTGGAGGAGCTCTTGTCAACATGACACCGAATGCAGCGAGGGAATTAATTTCATCAATGGCAGCTAACTCTCAATAGTTCGAATCTACAAGTGAACCCAGTCGACGGGTTCACGATATAAGTTCGATTTAATTTTCTTCTTGTAGGTAAAATTGGATCAGCAAGAGTATGCATGATATGCACAATGTCGGATCATCCGACAGATTGCTACACAATGCTACAAAAAGAAGTCAGTGCACGAGTTAATGTTGTGGGGAATTTTTCGGAACCTCCCCAAAGGCCTTAAAATCCTCATAGGAATACATACAATCCGGGATGGAGAGATCACCTGAACTTTAGTTACACACATAATCTAAGGCTCAATCAAGCCTATCAACCGAGGCCACCTCCACAACAACCTTATCCTCTACGGAAGTCATCACTTAAGTCAATTATCGAATGATTGGCTCTATCCCATGAAAAATTCCAGAATCACACTGATTCACATTTGTAATACATATACAAGCAATTTAGTT